TGCAGGATAACCAATTGATTGTCAGCCCAGCTGCTTCTCATTCTTCACTGCCCTCTTGCCCTCCCTCATCTTCCCTCTCTGCACCCTGCCCTTTGTAACTCCCTTATAGGACTGACACTGTCAGCCAAAGCTAGTGAGCAAATACAGCCTAGATGGAAGGAAGTGAACCCATCACAGAGTTCATGATGGCCTAGAAGCCAGGACAGTGCCCAGATGCCATGAACTCTGGACATCACTAACAACTGCTTACATGTGCACATGTTTTGCAACCTGTATAGAATATTGCCAAGATCTCAGGAGCCTGGAGATAACTCACAAAGGAAGCTGAGTAAACAGCAGAGAGCTGGTTGCGAACCCACATAGAGAACAGGGGTGTGTCAAGGGCGTTAACACCTTTATAGCACCTCAGATGAGTCCAATGTGCTGCCAAAGTGGAGAATACTGGCATAGACACATTTTTTTTTTCTTTGAGTACATTCTGTGTACATTCTCCTTTGGCTTCCTCCAAGAATCCACACTGATCACTTCTTCAGTCTTCCTGACATCCCTTGGGATGGGTGACAGGTGTCCTATTGTGAATAATAGTGAGCTTTGGGTTACCCAGTAGGCAGCATATTCTGGGTCTCAGTCCCAAGAGATGTCATCCAAATGAGCATCAGTATAGCATTCCCAGAGAATTTGCTTTGCTCAGTAAATCTCTCACTATCTCTTCCCTCTTCCTCATGTTGCCAGCTATCATAGTCAATCCTTTCAAGATTCATTCAACAATTACCTGTGAAGTGACTACTCTGTTTTGGATGCTGGGAAAATGGAGAGGGCCCCGAGTTACAGGCAAGAGCAGTGTGGAGGTTGCACAGGGGTCATGTTCTCTCCACTCCTGCCTCAGTTGATGCCTGTACCACCCTCAATGTGATCTGCTCTTCCAGTCATGCTCCTGAGTGTGGGTTTGCCAAGTGCTTGTATCTTGCTTACTTCATGCAAATGAAGGGAATGTCAAGCTCAGCCTCTGTTTTGCAGCAAGATGGAGGGATTTGAGGGTAAGATAAGCATCACACTACCACAGCAGAGAAGATAAACACATCTAAGGTCTGCAGACTGTGTCAGTTTTACATTCCTGGTTTCAAGTGGAGGGCGACTTCCTAGAGAAGGAAAGCTATTAGGAAGGATATGGATAAGAATGACCTTGTCTCTGTCTTCTTAGAACTTTCACTGCCTTAGTCCTAGACCTTCTCTGAAAAATGAAAGTTTATAGTTGCTAAACACCTAAAGATTTTCATTCCTGGGAGTCTGAAGAGGAGTTTTCAGATCTGATCCTACAGGCCTGAGTCATGGCAGTGTCAGAGGCAAGTACTGTGGTCCAGGAAAGCTGTCTGGAATAATGACAAGCTGGACAATGTTGACCAGCTGGCTGCCCAAGGGGAAAGCCTTGGTATGTCGCAGTGGTCAACTTCTGCTCCCATAGTGAGTGGTGTCAAGCCACTACATGATGTCACTGGACACACTCCTGAGAGCTGGTGCCAGCCTTTACCTGCCAGCTTGGTACTGGGTAGGGGCAATTGCCAAACAAACCTATAGATTGAAACAGGGTCCCTAAGGATAGGAATGAGGAAAATGAGGTGCAGAAAGGCACTTTTTGGTTTGCAAGTTACACTGCCAAGACAGCATGGCATGGGAAACTGGTAATGCCAGGACCTGGGAGTTGACTATGGTTCAGCCTCTGACTGGCCACAGGTGATACCTGCCTTTTGGCCTACAAGTGTGAATGAGTATCAGACTTTGGCCAGGAAGGGGACAGCATGGTGTGTGTCTGTGTGATGAATGAATCACAAATGCTGAGCTATGTTTATATCTTGAGAAGGGATGTGGTTCCTCTGAGAAGGAAGCCATGTACACCGAGTCCCAGGCCCCTTCCATAGCCTCGGTACAGAGGTAGGCCCTCTGCCAGCATTTGACACAAGCTCCTTTTCTGCTGCAGGACTGGGGCCTTGACTCCTTTCCCCTCTTCTTTGGCCTCTGGAGACCTCTTTCTCAGGAACCTGTGAGTGAGTGAAAAAGAGAGAAAGAGAAGAGAATGATTTTTTGTCTCTGATTCAATCCCCCATAGTCACAGTGGCTGGGGCTGGTCCGGGCTGAAGGAAGAAGCATGGAACTCCATTTAAGCCCCAGCACTACTGCCATTTGCTGCTGCTTTCCCAGGTGCAATAGCAGGAAACTGGATCAGAAGTAGAGCAGCTGACCCCTGAACCAGTGCTGGTGTTTTGATTGGTAACTTAACATACTGCACCATGATGTCATCCTCACAAATTTATCCTTTAATTCCAGTGTGCTTTCAAAGAATAGAAAATTCAACTTGAATGAATCTGAGGATTTATTGGGGGGGGGGTTGGGAATTTATTGACTCATGTTATTCAAGATGCAGAGGTAACCTAGTTTCAGGTAAAGCTTGATCCAGGAGTTTCCAAGCATGTGACTGATTTTCAGTCTTACTGTCTGTTTCTCAGTTTTAATGTTTTGGTGTTGAGTACATTTTTGTTCAGCTCTTCCCACAATGATGGTTCAGGTTTTTCAGGTTCGAATTAACACTAAAGAGACAATCTGTTTCCATATAGTTTATTTTTTTTTTTAAAGATTTATTTTTATTATTTTTTCATTGGAAAGGCGGATATACAGAGAGGAGAGACAGAGAGGAAGATCTTCTGTCCGATGATTCACTCCCCAAGTGAGCGCAACGGGCCGATACTATGCCGATCCGAAGCCAGGAGCCTCTTCTGGGTCTCCCACGCGGGTGCAGGGTCCCAAAGCCTTGGGCCATCCTCGACTGCTTTCCCGGGCCACAGGCAGGGAGCTGGAAGGGAAGTGGGGCTGCCGGGATTAGAACCGGCGCCCATATGGGATCCCGGGCGTGCAAGGCGAGGACCTTTAACCACTTGCGCCACCGTGCCGGGCCCGAGCTCCATATAGTTTAAATTTGGAAATCAAGTTTTATTAGACCCAATTAACTGACTCTGGTAGTGCACCTGTCCTTGAGACAATTGCTATGCGCTAGATGAATTAAGGCTGTCTTATTTGTCCTTCCAAGGTTGTCAGGTTGATAGGGTCAAGGGCCTAGGAGTTGCCTGCTGCTCAGCCTGTGACTGACCCTGTGATGACCTACTCTGTTTTGGAAGTGCAAGTGGTACCTCAGTGAGGAAGTGGACAGTAGGGCATGACAAATAGACCAGAAATACTGATTACTATCTTTAATAAACATGGGCCCACCATGGAGTTGGGAAGAGGCCAATCCCAGTGTACCTCAAGGCCAGTAGATTAACGTTTACCAGGATGACAGAAGTAGTAAATGGATGCTGGGGGACTCTCAAACAATATCCACACTACCCATTGGCACCATTTAGACTAGTCCTGCATACCTCCCAGGTGACTCCTACCTGGTATTTGCCAGGAGCTATGGCTCCCATGTCAGGTGGAGCTCCTTCATGTTCTTCTTCAATCACTCAGTATTTAGGCTGATAAATGAATTGGCAAGAGAGTCTGGAAGTTGGCCAGTGGCTTACCACATTCCCTTATTATCCAACCAGGGTCAATGCACTGAAATGATCCAGGGAAGCACAGTATAAGTGTTGAGTTTGAGTAAGTGTTACAGAGCCACGGAGAAGACACTTTTGGAATTCCTCTCACTGCACCATCTCCTCGCTTCCCTGCCTGTGGGGAGTGGTGTACTATGTCTCTTCAGCTGAGACAGGGGCTTAATCTCGCCAGGAGAACAGGGAGACCATGTTGGTGCCTCGCCATTCTAGGTGTCAATAGCTGCCATTGGAGCTCCAGGTTTACCTACCACCTCCTGGCAGACTCAGTGTCCACTCTTTCCTTCCTGCTGCAGCTTGACTCCCCCAGGCTCCTAGGCTGGGAGACCCTTGCAGGAGACCAGAAGTAGAAGAAGAAAGAGTTTTGGAGATCTTTGTGCCTTGCCTGGTATGGTTTCACTTCTCAGCTGTTGCCCAGCAGTACAATTTCCCCAGGCTCTGGAGACAGTTGTTCCCACTTGTTTCTCCAACCTAGGGGTGTTGCTAGAGTTCCTGGTGTTACCACCTCTGGAGGTTGCATAACCCCCTAGTTGAATTTCTTCACTGTGCTGGGTTCTCCCAAGGGAGTCCCACATCCAAAAAACATCTGCAGTGAACTCTGTTTCCTCAGGGCCCCGACTAAGGACAGGAGAGACCAACATCACATCCTCCCTGGAACATGGAACCCCTGGCTGGGCACTGGTAGCTGCCAGTTTCTGGCTGTGCAATTCCTTGCCCATTCCTCTCTGGGCCAAGTGGCTTTACCCACCCAGAGGGATGGAACATGAAGATATGCTATTATCACCCTGAAAGCAACTTCTAATTTCCTCAAGACCAACTTGCTTTTGGAGGTGCAGTTCTTTTCTTATCCAAGATCCTCCTTCTTGGACTAGAATCTCACCTCTGAAGGTGCCTAACCAAGAGGAACTCTGGCTTTGTGAGACTGGCATTTGGACCAAGCCCCCCTTAGGGTCCCTATCAAAGGGGACAAGAAGACCTTCTTGTGAGAAAGCACAGACAAGCTGAACCTCTGTTTCATTATCTAAGGAATGGGTATCCAGAGTGAAATCTATGTTCTACTTCTGTCCTGGCTAAATGGGTTAATGTAGAAAAAGTGCCTGTCATGATTGAGGTGCCCATAAGGAAAGGCAGTGGCTATTTTGTTGCTGATTCACTAGGATTTGCCACCTGTTTGCTCCCCTAAGCACCCAAGGAGAGATGCCCACCAGTATTGTCTTTCTAGCTGTGTTTTGAAAGACGTCAACCAGCTTCTCACCTCTGTTGTGTGTAATTGCTGGTTGCTGTCTCCTCCCTATGGCACTCAGTCTGAGCTCAGCTGCTGTTGGCTGCAGGGCGTGGCTAGGGGTGGGAGTTGGCAGGATGCCTGCTCTCAGGGTATAAGGGAGTCCAGGGACAGCAGGGGACAAGCTGGAGCCTAAGTGGCTACAACTCCAGGTGTCATGCTCCACTTTCTGTCTCGCCTGGGCCTATGGGCCTTTGGACTGATCTTGAGCCTAGTCTTCTTCAAGCTCCTCCGCCTGCTGCTTCGGAGGCAGAGGCTAGCCCGGGCCTTGGACAGCTTCCCAGGGCCTCCTACCCACTGGTTCTTTGGGCATGCTCTCGAGGTACAATGTGGAGGTGGGAGGGTGGGAGGCGTGGTGGGAAGGGGAAGAGGAAATGGCCTTCTTGCCTTCAAAGAATCCAGCCTGTTCTCCCAGGGGGTTGTGGAGGGAGACTGCTCAGCTTGGGCAGGGGTGCTGTCCTGGGTGTCACCGTTCTCATCCAGCTTTTTCCAGTAGGATCTGGGACTCAGTCCTCCCTTAAGCTGGTTTCAGAAGGTGGGAGACTTGGGGTTCACTCCCCAAATGGCTGCAATGGTTAGTGTCGAAGCCAGGAATCAGGGACTTCATTCAGGTCTCCCACATAAGTGACAGGGACCCCAAGCACTTGGGCTGTCTTCCACTGCTTTCCCAGGAGCATTGGTGAGATTGGAAACGGAGCAGTCAGGAGTTGAATTGGCTCCCATATGGGTTGCAGGTGCTGCAGGAAGTGGCTTAACCTGTGGTGACACAGTTCTGGCTCCAGAGATATCAATTTCTGACTCTGAAAGGGAAGCCAGAAACTGCTGTTCTGTAATTGACCTTTCACATTCTGAGTGGTCATGGGCCTCCAGCTTGTGGAAATTCTAATTTGTCAGATTGGGAGTTGGAATCTGAGCTTAACAACTTCTGCAGTTTTTTGATCTGCAGCTAGGTTTGGCAATGCAGTTACAGATTCCTGAGGTTCTGGCTCAGAGAGGGCCATGGCTCCTTCCCTTACCTCCTAAGTACACTTTGCTTACTCTAAGGTCTGTGGACTTGCCTCTTTTCCTTGGTTGACATTGGAAGTGAGCTTGACCTCTAGGCTTTATTTTTTTACTTTTTATTTTTTACCATTAGTCTTTTTCTGGCTCCTATTCAGCCAGCCCTCTTCCTGGTAACCAGTGTATCCTGGGTCTATCTAGGAGAGAAAAGGTGGTGGGGGGAGAAGGGTCCAAGGTTGCGAGGCTTTTAGTGTATTTTTTGGAAGGAGAAACAGCCCTGCCTGTTCCAGCCCCAGATGCTTGGGCTACCTCGCCAGGGTCCAATGTCAGCACCACTCTTCTTGTCTCAAGTCTTGTCCATCTTCTTTGTTGGGGTTGACCTCTGGTGAATGGAGATCTGCTCTGATTTCACCTCTGTGCCCTTAGGATCCAGTACAAAGCCTGCCACAGAATAGGCAGAACCAACAGTGAATGCTGGAGGGGATAAGGGGTTTCCATGGTGGAGGGCAAGTGAAGGGGAGCATACATGCAAGAAGCTCTGGACGAAGCTTTGCTAAAGAAGGAAGTAGAGTCTTGGGGGAGGTTGCAGTCTGACTGTAATGGGGGAATGCTTCAGTTTTTTCCCTCTGGTGCCCCCTCCATTTTCACCTTCCTCCATCAACGTGGTTTTGCCCTCAGGGAGGTGTCTGGAGAACAGGATCCATTTGGTTCTTCTACTTGCAAGTCAGATTCATCTGCCCTCCTCCCCCAGCTGCCCTGCCTCACCTGCAGAGTAGAGGGTATAAGTGGGGAATGGATATGGTAACAGCTGAGCTCTGAGCTTCTTGGCGCTGATACAACTATCTGGAGGGCCTTCTCTGGGCACCAGGAAGAGCAGGCAGGGCTTAAGGGGTGGCCACTCTTGTACACAAAGGTTTCCTGGGGAACCATGGGAGAAACACCCTCTTGCATTCCTTCAGGGGTTGGCACCTCTTGGTGCCATCCACACTTGAACTTGAAAATGGTAGGAAGAAATGGAGGCTGGGAGGGTGTGAGATATTTGTCTGAGATCATACAAGAGTTCAGGAATTGAATCAAGGCTGAGCCCAAGACGCCTGCATTTTGATTCTAGGACTGCTCAGTCCATTTGATTCCTAGGCCTGGAGGTGACAGGAGTAGAAAGGGAACAAAGGAGAATGGTGGGTGAAGGGCAGGGGGTGGGAAGGACTTGTCCATCAAGATTAATTTCTCCATTTTTGGTCTTCATTTGTTGTTTGTAGGCCCTGGTAGTTCCAACTATCATTCTGTTCAATTCTTAGAATGTGTCTTGTTCTGCTAGAATTCCCCTTATCCCGCCAGGGGACTCAGGGAGCACCTGGAACACTGGAGGTGTTCAATTTTGGGTTCAAATTGGGACCCCTGAGTGGGGCCAATGTGTGTGTGTGTGTGTGTGTGTGGAGGGGGGAGAGAAGGCCAGCTCCATGACAGAGGAAAGATGATCTACTGAGGTTGCTGAAGCCTCTTCCCTGTTCCCAGCCATTGCTGTTGCAACAGCTTTGTGTAATGCAGAGAAAGCTCTGGCATAATTTGTTCAGCAAACATTGATCATGGACTCTTTTGCCCCATTGAGTAAGTGATGACACTTTTCTGTGCTTCAATTTGCTTGTTAGTTACATGGAATTAATCACTAGGACCTTGTTTAGTTAGAAAAAGTCACCAAGTAGAGGCTGATTGCAAGTTGTTGGGTACGTGGTTATCGGATGTTGAATGCCTATGAAGGGGATGTTTACTTCAGTAAAAATGTGAAAGATTTATACAATCTGAAGAAAAACCAGAGTGTGAGATGTTTACTTCAAAACATGCCCAAACATTTACTCTTATCACCTTCTTCCTTTCTAACCCAGCCAGGATTAGATCCCTCTTTTCTCAAACAACTAGCACTGACCTTGTACAGAGACAGGAAGATGAAGAATCAAGATAAGAGGTCTGACCTGGCAAGACCAGGTCTGCAGAAGAGATGGGTAATGCAAACTGTGGGTTACAGATCCATGGGCCTAGGGTGCCCTGGTAGAGGAAGTTGAGGGGGCTGCTGCTGAAGAGACTCACCAGTCTAAAAGGAACAGCCTGTGGATGTATAGAGGAAAGGCATCCGCCTGTGCGTGGCGCAGAGCCTGGAAAGACTACCTGGTGCTTAGGATGCCATTTTGATCTCTGAGGTCTCATGCAAGCTTTTGTGAGTACTTCAGCACTGTTGGAACGGTGGGAAGGACAGAGAGGATGAGGCTGTTGGAGGTGGGTAGGGCCAGAGATTCCAGAGGCTACACTGAAAGGTTTGCTTTATTCTGAGCCCCTGAAGGAACTGAAGCAATGGAACAATGAGATTGGCCTTGGGTCTGAGAAAAATCATGCTTTTGGGCATTGACTAGATGGACAGGGAGCCCAGCCAAGCACCACAAAGTGAGCCTCAAGCAAGGGGGAGTGATCCAAGTCTTGGAATGGAGGATGTGGGAGAAGGCATCAGGGCTCTCACCACAGCCAGATGTGAGGATATCTGTGAGAAGGGGAGCCAGGAATGCCCTGGAACTTTGCTAAGACATCACAGGTCCATCTGAGCAGAATTTAGAAAAGACACTGAAAAACGTAAAAAAGTCCCTTGAGTGACAAGGTTGGATTGTATGCAGGGAGGGATGCCTCACTATGTCTGAATTTTTAAAAAAGATTTGATTATTTTTATTTGAAAGAATTATGGAGAAAGAGAGGGAGAGGGAGAGAGAGAGAAAGAGAGAGAGAGAGAGAGAGAGAGAGAGAGAAAGAGAGTGCAAAAGAGAGAAAGAAAGAGAGAGAAAGACTGCTGGTTCATTCCCAAAATGGCCACAATGGCTGGACCTGAGCCAATCCAAAGCCAGGAGCCAGGAGCTTCTTCCAGGTTTCCCACATGGGGGGCAGCAGCCCAAGGACTTGGACCATCCTCCACTACTTTCCCAGGCCATAAGTAGGGCTCTGGATCAGAAATGGAGCAGTCAGGACATGAACTAGAGTCCATATGGGATACTGGCACTGCAAATGGAGGCTTAGCCTGCTGGCACTGGCCATATTAAGTCTAAATTTTAAAATGTGTGCATGTCTGAGACCCAGAAAGAGGACGCTCAGGGGCTGACTGCAGCCCCCGGACAAGGGGAGCCTTGGGTCCTGGGTGGAGAGTATTGTAGCAGTTTCCTCCTGTGAGTTGCAAATGTGATGCCTACAAACACATGCACACGGCCTCGGAAATACTGGGCCCCATGAGTCTGGGCGATGGTTGGCAGACATATCTGGGTTTGATTGGATTTTCAGGCCTCAGCAGTAAAATCACCTGGGATATGTGGCTCAAGGAGGAGCCACAGGTGACAGAAAAGCTGAGAGAGTAGGTGAGAGAATCTGGGAGAAGGTGCAGCACAGAAGGGGCCGAGGGTAGGATGTGGGGGAGTGTCACCTTCAGGGGACACATGGTGGGTGTGCTGAGTGGGGCAGCAGGAGAGGGGGAGGACTCACAGGGGCAGAGCTGAAAAGGAGGGTCTCCTACTTCGCTGTAGCCTGCAGGCCTTGGGGCTCAACACTGACAGAGCAAGGGGAGCCTGATCAGGGCATGTGAGAAGTTCAAAGGGAAGAAGAGGAGAGTGTGGCAGCTGAAATGGGAGGAGGCAAACCACAGACTGTTTTGTGCCCTTTTTTGAAATAGCAAAGACTCAGGCATGTTTTAAAAATAAACGGGAAGGAGCTAGTAGACATGGGGACGCTAGGTGAGCCTGCAGCAGTTGGTGGCCATGAGGAATCCACAGTAGGTGACCTCGGTGGCTCTCAAGGCCTCGACCGCTACAGAAGGACAAGCAGAGAGGCTGAGGATGGTTGGGCCTGGTGGCTGTTCAGGCCGTGGGGTACCCTCGGGGGATTTCCCATTGGACAGCTTCTGGTTCTGGCAACCTCTTGGATTGGGAGCTGGGGGCAGAATGGAGGAAGGAGGCCACTGAGGTAAGTTTTTGAGTAGCAGATTGAGGCTAGTGATGTGGGTATTACCAGAAATGCCTGGTGGGTTCTTTCCTCAGCTTATTGTAGAAATAAAAAGCTGGGAATCTGTTGCAGACAAAAAGGTTTATTTGTGAAGGGACCAGGTGAGCAGGGAAGGAAGAGGAAAGGGGAAGCACCTCCGGAGAAAAAGCCAGGAGGTGGGGTGCCTCTCGAAAGGGGAGGGAGAGAGAGACACCAAAGGTTTGAGGAAGGGTCTTGGGATTTTAAGCATTCTCTGACCCCTCCTTATTGGGCAGGGAACCTACAGGTGAGATGTTCCCCATTGGTGGTCTCTTAATTAGTTAGGAAATGGGTGGGAAATGATTATGCTATCCATTTGAAGGTATGGCCAAGACCTTTGCAGGCTTGGATGATCTCAGTGGGGCTTCCCAGAAGGAGCTTCTGCTGATCTCTGGCTGAGTGCTGCCTCCCGGGGGCCTGTCTTGAGCCCTGGGCACTGGGGGAACTCTACCCTTCTGAGACTATAAAGCAGAGTGGAGACTCATGGGAGAGGTTTTCAGCTCAGTGGCTAAGAAGTCTTTCTAAGAATGGGCATAGTCCAAGGCTGGGTGGTGTCTGGAAAAGTAATAAGTTTTTTGTTGCTAGGGATGTTTTGGCCCTTGGAGCACAGAGATGGTACTGGGCAGGTGGCCCTGGGAACAGGAAGGTTAGAGTAACATGACCTCCAGAGAGCTCCAAGGTGCAGGGCCAGACAAAGCCCTATATATCTTCCCTGTTTACTTCATAAACCCTACATGCTTTTTTGTGAGCAAATTTTTTTTTGTTCTCAAGCAATACTCCAGGAGGGGTGTGGCAGCTGCAGACTGACCAGACGGGTAGCTTGTGCTTTGGACACTGGTCAAATGGGCATCAGATAAACTGGCTGCTGGCCTGAGCAGGCTTGCTAACGGGAGAGACAGCAGGAAGAGCCTTAGTCAGGCTCCCTGATCTGCTGTGCCTCATGTGACTGTTCAGACTGATAAAAAGAAGTGACGGTTCTGCTAGATGGCCCTTTTTGGTCTAATTTTTGGAGCAAAACTTCCTTAGATTTAGGGAGCAGAAAAGAGGGGGATGTTACATGTTTGCTCTTCCCAATCCCTCCCATTCTTCATTCCTGGGTTAATAGGAAAGCAAATGTGAGGATGGATGAGGAGGGGCTGCAGAACTGGGAGCCAACATTTATCTCCACGGCCTGCTCCTTCTCTGCTTCCTTCCTCCTAGAGAAAAACAAGCTGGCCTGGACATCCCGGCCCTGGAAGCATCTCAGCTCAGGGCATCTGAGGACGAATGTGAGGCATACAGTTGTATAACCAGAGGAACTAGCCAGGCAAACACACATGTCTCAGAGGGAGGGTGCTGGGCCCTGCAGCTGCAATAGTAGTGCTGGGGGGTGGGGTGGGTGGCTGCAACTGAGGCAATGGTGCCAGTTTCTGGGGCCATCCTCACTCTTACAATGTTTCAGGGAACAATCAAAGACTGGACTCATGCAAGCTGGCTGTGACTGCCATCAGCACAAAGTCAGGGAATACTGCAGAGGGCATGTGCCTGACGGGTAAGGAGTGGAGTGGGCATAGAGGAGCCCTGTCATCCCTAGCTCCCACAGCCCAGACAGCCTCTGAGTCCGGTCACGCTGTCACTTGCAGGGCCTTTCCCTGCCCTGTCCAAATGCGATTTGAAGCCTTAAAAGTCATGGGAGAAGGGAAGCAGTCAGTGATCAGACCAGTGGTAAGAAAAATTCAGGAGGACACCCAGGAAAATAAGAGAGAAGGAGTCATTTCCAGGGATGCAGCTGGCAGGGATACTGGAGAATCCCACTTTATCTGCAGGTAGACAAGATTTTCTTCATTTCGAGCTTTTTTTTTTTTTTTTTGACATTGTGTGCTCAAGCATGAATTCAGAGGCAGTGAGGGACAAGACCCATGGGGAAATTCTGTCAGACTCTATTGAGAGTCTGGGAAAGGAGGAAGGCCTGGGTGGGAGTTTGGAGACCAAAGCAGACCCCGTATCCAGGCGCTTGAAAGGAGAGGCTTGGGCCAAAGATCCATGTGGGCTGCATTGTCAGATACCTGTGCTTTGCTTGAAGGCCTTCCCAGGGAGATATACTATGGACAAGCTGAGTGGGTGGGGACTGTGAGAGAGGTGTTTGCAGAGAAGAGCAGGCAAGAGGGCCAGCACAGGTAGCATGTGCACAGTCCCCAGCAAGAACAGCATTCCCTGCACTGTGTTCAGTCCTACTGTGCAGTGCACAGCTTAGGCAACTGAGCACAGTGGTCCCAAAAGGCTTCGGTGTGAAGAGAGTACAGGGCTCTAGCTTGAGCCGGAGCATGGCTAACTTGTCGGCAATGGGTAAATGAATTCATGGCTCTGGGCCTCAGTTTTCTCATCTGTAAAACAGGAGTAATTATTATTTCACGTCAGGTACATGGCACAATCTATGCAGTCATTCAGACAGCACCTGGTAACCATCTACTGTTCCCATCTATTCTATTGGTTGTGAGGTTGAATGGGGGGATGAGGAGTGCATTCACTCATAGCCCAGAGCTGTCAGGCCAGCGCAACTGAGGAAGCCGACAGAAATCAGCAATGGTGTTTATCACGCAGGAAATGCTGTGACAGCCCTTCCCTGACACCTCCAAATTGAGCAAGACGTTGGGCTGACCCCTCACGAGACTGAACATCTTTGGCAAATTTTGAGTAGTCAGCTGTTTTGTGAGCTTTCCCTCCTTTCTTCATTTCTTTTTACCTCCACCATTCATTCCATTCTTTCAACATACACTTCATCAAATGGGGCGTACAAGGGAACCCTAGTATACCTGCACACTCTTGGTCTTATAAATCTAAAACAATTTGATTTAAGTTTTTTTAAAGATTTATTTATTTATTGGAAAGTCAGACAGATATACAGAGAGGAGGAGTGACAGAGAGGAAGATTTTCCGTCTGATGATTCACTCCCCAAGTGAGTGCAACGGCCGGTGCTGTGCCGATCTGAAGTCAGGGGCCAGGAAACTCCTCCGGGTCTCCCATGTGGGAGCAGGGTCCCAAGGCTTTGGGCCATCCTTGACTGCTTTCCCAGGCCTCAAGCAGGGGGCTGGTTGGGAAGTGGAGCTGCCGGGATTAGAACCGGCACCCATATGGGATCCCGGTGTGTTCAAGGCAAGGACTTTAGCCACTAGGCCAAGCCACCGGGCCCAATTTAAGTTTTTATTTTTTAAGATTTATTTATTTTTATTGGAAAATCAGACATACAGAAAGGAAGATCTTCCATTCACTTATTCACTCCCCAAGTGGCCGCAACAGCCGGAGTTGAGCTGATCCAAAGCCAGGAGCCAGGAGCTTCCTCTGGGTCTCCATGCAGGTACAGTGGGAGATTTTAGGCCATCCTCTATTGCCATGTCAGGTCATAAGCAGGGAGCTGAATGAGAAGCGGGGCCATCAGGACACGAACCAGCACCTGTATGGGATCCTGGTGCTTGCAAGATGAAGACTTTAGCCACTAGGCTACCGCATCAGGCCTTTGACTTAACTTTTAACAAAAAGCTCGAAAACAAACTTGAGTTCTTCCAAGCATCAAAGACTGGGTGGGGGATGTGAAATCAGCCTCCTGAGTTCATGCACTATGGGGTCCTTGCTATGCCTCAGCTGCCTCTTCCCTCAGGCGGGACTGCAGGGGTTGCTGAGGATTCCAGGGGACGAGGATATGAGGTTCCTGGCACAAGCCCTTACTTCAGCTGAGCCACTGCTGCCCTTGCCCACAGCCTGCAGAGCGTCTACCCGATCCCAGGCTCTGCGCAGGCAGCTGAGGGCTGCAAGTGGATTGACGTCCTGATACATCCCTGTCCCGGCCCACTCAGTGTTGGCGACATGGGATGGCAGTAAAAGATACTGGCTCGGGAAGGAGGGCAAGGCGTGTGATTGTGTGAAAAGGCTGCGTGTGTATAAGTTGTGGTTGCAGGGCTCCATTTCTGTAATGCACCCCTGGGTGAGTGGGTGTATCTAGAGCCTCCCCTCCCCCATAAAGAGTACACAGGGTTTTGCGGTGATCTCTCCACCCCTCTCTCAGTTAACTACATTCCCCCACCCCTCCAAGGACAGCTCTTTGAAACCATCTGCTCTTTCTTGCCTCTGAATCTTGGTGCTTGCTCCAATGCAGAATGCTCTTCCTCTATACATCACATGGCTTAAAGTGTTTCAAGTTTCACCCCAAAAGCCATGTCCAACAACAAGTCATACTGGACCGCCCTATGCAAGCAGGTCCTCCCTGTTAGCCTTTAGTTCCTTCTCAGAACTCACCAGTATCTGTCACATTTAATTGCTTAGTTGTTTACCATACGCCCTCCCCATAAAATGAAAGGTTAACATGGTGTCACTCTCATTCTCCTTGGAGGTGATTAATCTGTCACGTAACAAACAGGGACTAGTTCTGTAATGGAAAAATCTTGGCCAGGAGGCAGAAACTCTCTTCAGCAAATGGCAGGTACAAGGTTGTTGTAAAGTGTCAGGTGGAAAGCAGATTGGCTAGTAAAGGGTTGTAGAGCTAGCCAAAGTATGAGAAGGGGGAAGTCTTAGAACAGTGACCTTGAACATGGCATTGACTTGGGATGTATGGGAGAAAAGGTGCAGGTGGAAGGAGGGCAGCCACAGGGACTTGGGGCCTGGCTGGTGACAATGGGTTCTTGAGTGGCTCTGGTTTTCTCTTCCATTTCAGATCCAGAAGACGGGGAGCCTGGATAAGGTGGTGTCCTGGACCCAGCAGTTCCCTTATGCCCACCCACTCTGGTTTGGACCGTTTGTTGGTTTCCTGAATATCTATGAGCCTGACTACGTCAAAGCTGTGTATAGTCGTGGGGGTGAGGCACTCCTGGAAGCAAAGGGTCAGGGGAGGATGCCTGGGTCTGGCAACTGAGGTCCCCCACCCTTCTGAACCACAAATCTTCTCTGGGTGCCCCATGGCCAGGCTTGACCCAGTATTCTTCTTCTACAGACCCTAAAGCCCCGGATGTGTATGATTTCCTGCTCCAGTGGACTGGTAAGTGAGCACTTGCCTAACCTGCCCTTCCTATCCATCACCCTGCCCTTCTCCAGCCAGCCCAACCCACTCTCCATGGATAATGCTGTCATCTGAACCAGCACACACCTGGGTGCCTGGACTATGCTCTGTGGGGAAGCAGAGGGAGGGTGGATTCTAGACAACTTCTCTTGCCAGGCTGTCTTTTAACTTGGATAGGCACCCCTTCCACTGGCCCTGTTGCTCTGGTTAAACCCTGACTGATGCAGATTTTGGTTTAAGCATGATTCTAGAAGGACAGGACCTTCAGGAGGGGTATTCTAAATGGGTCTTTCTCCTGTTGGTCCTGTCATCTTACCTGGACAGGCAGACACACATTCTGGAGGATGTGTGGGTGAGAAAAAAGATTACTTGGAGGAGGCATCAACAGCATGGCTCCTCCAGGAGTCTCTAACAGGAGATGCTATCTAGGATAAGGCCTAGGGAAAGGGGTGGTGGGAGGACCGTGGCTGGTGTCACCAGAAGGCTGTGGGGCCTTCTTGGTGGCTGAAGGGCATTTGGGGGATGAAGCAGGTCAGGGAAAACTGGCCACCTTTGGCTGACAGGATGAGGACTGTGGTTGATGTTAACAGGACCTAGGAGCTACTGAATATTCTTGAGCGAGACCATGTGCTTCTCTAACGTTCCCTCAGCCCCACCTCTTGTTCAACTCATGATCTCCTGGTAGCCTCAGCATCTTCCTGGGATCTAGGAGTGGGGACGGCAGGGCCAAGAGTAAGACAATGTTCCCAAGACCACTCACCCAGAAATCTAGAGAAGTCTGTATTTCTGTGATCCTTACTGTCTTCGATGGTCAAAGGGCAGATCAAATGGAGAGACAGAAAGGGCTTGGAGAGACAGAAGGGAGGGATTTTGAAGCTAAGAATGTATTTCTCTTGCTGGGTGTGTGTATTGGTTGGAGGCCAGAGTCCTGCCCAAGGCTACCAGGTGCACACAGGACAGACTGTTCCCCTGAGGCTCTGGTGACAGACAGTAGCCCAGGAGTCGGGGCCTGGTAGGCCTCCGTCTGCACCCAGGGAGGTTCCGCCTATTGTCTGAATCCAGCGGCACCTGAATCAGATTCCCAGAACCCAGGCCTTGTGGCATAGCTGAGAGTGAGAATGGAGCCAATCCATCCCAAGCAAAGAGTTCTCTGAGCCAGGATTGCAGTTACCTCTGTGTCCTGCAGTCATGGCAGCGTAGTGTTAGACTCACAGGGAACTCCTGGGGGTTCAGCCCTAAAGGCTCTCACCCTCTCCTCCTCAGGTTAAGGGGTGGGGGTGCATGGGCTTTGTTCCAGTTTACCAGGCACTGGGCAGGGTTGCCTGGCCTGACTGACCCCTCTTCCCACCTCCTCTGTAGGGAAAGGCCTGCTGGTTCTGGATGGGCCTCAGTGGTTCCAACACCGCAAGCTACTCACCCCTGGCTTCCATTATGATGTGCTGAAACCCTATGTGGCTATATTTGCTGACTCCACACATGCCATGCTGGTAGGTTCCCTGGGCTGGCCTTCCTCACCCTCTTCTGGCCTCCTCTGGGAGGACTGGTGGGGGAAGAGCATCAGGGATGGATGACCCTCCTGACCCCCAGAGCAGACACCTACAGATTGAAGGCTGAGGCTCCCTTCCAGGCAGCCTGGCCCTTGTCCCCACAGGGAGACTGACCCTCTTACTTGTCTAACTGGGAAGGCCTTAGCAAGGCTCCTAGTGTGAATTTGAGGGTTGCCTGTCTTTGGGAAGGTCAGGAGGTTATTCACTCTAAGAGGGTTTCCCACCTCCTAACACCAGGCTGGTGCTCATCTCTGGCCACAATGCTGGAGTCCCAGAGCTGTGAACTCTGGAGCTGCCCAGGCCAATCTTACCCCCTGTCTGAGTTTCTACCTGCCATTACTGCACGCATGACTTCCACACAGCCTATTCCAGGGAGCTCACCCTCACCAGATTTCCCAGATGAGGAGAGAGTATCCATTATCTGGGCAGTATCTGCATAGGGCCCAGGGGCTGCCCAATCGCCACACTACAGCAGTATAGAGAGCAGGGCAGGTCAGAGACTGGGGGATGTGGGGATCTTGGCAGCAGAAAATAGGATGTAGGCCCTGTGGGGGAGGGAGGGGCATCCAGCCCAGCTGGCTTCTTCCCTGACACCTGTTTCTGGTTCCAGGACAAATGGGAGAAAAAGGCTCAAGGAGGTAAGAGCTTTGACATCTTCAGTGATGTGGGCTACATGGCACTGAACTCGCTCATGAAGTGCACATTTGGAAAAGGAGAAGGTGGCTTGACTCACAGGTCAGGGGGCACCCCTGTAGTGAGAGCTGGCTCAGAGGGGGGTGAGAGTTGTATCCTGTTCTGAGACAAGGGAGGGGTAGGGAGACACTGCTGGATTCCATACAGAGGCTTAAATGCAGAGAGGGGGCAGACCGCGAGAGCTGTGGTTGGGACTGAAACGGAGCTACTTGAGGTTTTGCTCCCAGTCAGCCTGAGCTGCACTCCTCTCTCCCTGGGCTTGACAGTGACAACAGCTACTATCAGGCAGTCAGCGAGCTCACCCTGCTTGTGCAGCAGCGCATCGATTCCTGCCAGTACCACAATGACTTCATCTACCAGTTCACATCGCATGGCCGCCGCTTCCTGAAAGCCTGCCAGGTGGCCCACGACCACACCGGTGGGTCTCTCTTGCGGGGCCCACCTCCTATTCTCCTGCTGGTCCCTCTGTGCTCCCTCCTGCTGCAGGGCCTGTTTCCCTTTGAGCAGTGAATGAGACCCAGATAGTGACGACCTGTGTTCCTGACCCAGACCAGGTCATCAAAGAGCGGAGAGTGGCCCTGCAGAATGAGAAAGAGTGGGAGAAAATCCAGAACCGGAGACACCTGGACTTCCTGGACATTCTTTTGGGTGTACGGGTGAGTGCAGAATTGCCCACCTGTGCCTGTGACTGGGTCCCAGAGGGGCCTCCAGGCCAAGCTCCCAAGATAGGGTTCACTGCACATCCAGAAGGACTGTTAAGCATTTCTCCCTCAGTCTCCAGCCAGTATCACATGCTTCCTGTCTATAATACACCTCAGGGAAGTATCATGGCAGGTGCAGCACATGTGGGTGTGCAGGTGGGCTGCGGCACTAAGGAGAGATGCAGCTGAGATTTGGCAATGTGGTGGCCTGAAGCCACTTGCATGAGAGAATCACAGATTTCACTCACTTATCTATTTGTTTATTCATCTACTCCATCAATTTACCCTGGATTAGATCTTGCACTGGGAAAGACCCAGCCCTTCCTTCCAGGTTCTTTAGTCTAGTGAAGGGATAGCAGGTGCATGCAGACAGAAATGGATATCTTCCTTTGCTTTGTGCCAAATGAGCACAGCTCATGGTTTGGGCTAGATTAGGTCACATTCCTGGTCAGAAGGACTGGGGAAGATTTTGCGGAGTAGCAGGCTGGGCTTGCAAAAGTGAGGGGAGAGAGAGAGCAAGAGAGAGGAATCTGTAGGCAAAGTCCTAATGCCCAGGAGAGTGGGAGCTTCTACCCCTTCTCTTGAACCTTCGTTTGACAACTGCTGTTATGAGTTCTTCTGGGGACCCACTCACATGACTTGAGCTGTTCCACTATTTTTCCCTAACCCAGGGTGGAAGTGAAATCCAGCTGTCAGACACGGAACTCAGGGCTGAAGTGGATACATTCATGTTTGAAGGTCACGACACTACAACCAGTGGCATCTCCTGGTTTCTCTACTGCATGGCTTTACACCCTGAGCACCAGCAGCGTTGCAGGGAGGAGGTCCGAGAGATCCTAGGAGACAAGAAATCCTTCCAGTGGTGAGTGAGGCTGGTATGAGCTCAGTCCAACCTTCCCAGCCTGGAAGAGTTGTGCTCATCCTGGGCTGGGCTACCTGAGAATGACTTAGAGGCACCCAGGCAGCTAGATGAAGATGCCAGAAGCTGTCCTGGTTCCTCCAGGGTTGTAGATTTGTGGGAGGTGGGATGGGGCTAGAAGCTCAGCATGGGCATACCCGAGTCATTCTTCCCAGTGGAACCTTTTAGATGTGTAGGGAATGAAGTTGGCAATACAAGGCACGGATTGCATGCACTGACGCCTCCTGGTGGCAGACACTGGCTAAGCTTCTGGTTTCTGAGTAGAATAGGGAGGGCTGGAAGAGAAAGAAATGGGTGATGCAGGGAGCCAGGAGAGCTGGTTCTTGGGCCCCCGCCTTTGCATGGCAGGAGAAACCCAAATCTGTACTGTTCTCTCTGAAGAAGGAGTAAGATTGTTCTCTAAAGTTCATCACTTATAAACTCTCAGATGTTTCTTTCTGTTCTTTGATGTCCTTAGTGTGATACTAATTGATCCTAACTTCTCTTTGTAAGTAACCTCATCTCTCACAGCCTCTTCCCACTCTGCCTACTTGCCTTTCTTCCTTTTCAGGCCCTTGTATCCTGCCATGCCCTTCACTTTCCTCCTGAGCTGCCTCTGAAATGTGACTTTATATATACCGAAGCATGAAAAAATGCTCAGTGGATGAAGAACTGTGGGTTCATTTGTAGGCTGCTGGAAATGGTAGTTCCAGGGGGCTAAGACCTGATGGACGAAGTCTCTATGACTTATTTTATTAGTCAGATGTTGTAATCCCCCAGGGTATCTGGAGTGCAGGTAGGAAGAATAGGAAGAACCAAGCTGAGGCTCACACCCACTCAACCAAAAAGCTATCAGAGAGAGAAAGACACAACCACCTAGAGGTCGGGGGCAGAAGAATGAGGATTAAGGGGGCTTGGGTTGGCTTTCCAAGAAGGGTTCACACTCAGAAAGAGCCACATGTTTAAGAATGAGTAGCAGTGTGGATGCAGCCTGAGGTAGGGAATTAGAGCATTTACTTTTTCCACTTGATTCCATCCAAGACTTTGAGGAACTTAGAGGATAACTAAATAAAGTCGTGAAAAACACAAACAAAGAACAAGAACTGGGTGGGAAAAAGACCCAGAGTTCAAGTAACTGTAGGGATAATTGGATTCATATTGGAGTCTGAGCTTCTTGATGACCAAAGGAAACACACACATACACACTCAATTTTATCTGGGCTTGTCATTATTGATGCATTAAACAGTACATGAACACATTGGTCCTTCCTTCAACCAATATGTGTCAGCTTTTGCCCATTTCTTTCCATCCCAGCTTCCCAGGGGAAAACAAACTGAACCTAAAGGTCTGTTCTTACTGGGATTTTTGGGGATTCAGTCATTTAACTTTGCTTTTGATGGTGAGGCGCATATTCATCTCTATGGCCCGGTTCCCCTCACCTCTAGTAGCGATGATGAGGAGAGGATAGGACAGACAGTGTCAGATTCCATTGAACCTGAGTGGCCACCTGAGTCTGGTCTGGCCTGGGTGTATGTGGGTTCCATGGTTCTTCATTCTTGAGGGTATGAGGTAGAGGTGAGGGCAAAGGCAATGTGCTGGTGAGGTAGGGAAGCTGGGGCTGGCCCTGTCTTCTTCTGGGACCCCACTGCTCCACATTCTCACAATGTCTTGATTCTGTTGCTATAGGGATGACCTGGGGAAGATGACCTACTTGACCATGTGCATCAAGGAGTGCTTCCGCCTCTACCCACCTGTGCCTCAGGTGTACCGACAGCTCAACAAGCCTGTCAACTTTGTGGATGGGCGCTCTCTGCCTGAAGGTGGGACAGCCTGGTATAGGAGGTGGAACTTGAGTCCTGTGGGCACTTCTCTGGTACCTTTTGTACTGTTACCCAAACCTTTATCCCAGGAAGAGACAGCTCAGATGTTATGTTTAGGGAGCTGCACACCAAACCCTGGCTCACAATTTAGGGCTTCTAAGCCTCCATGTCTTGTGTAAAATGGGGGCTGGGGCTGGGGGTGAGAAGAGCAAATGAAGGTGATATTAGGATTGACGAGAAAGTCCTCCAGGACCATCATGTACCACAACACTCACCCAGGTGGTACTCCAGACTGCATCAGGAAGCTCGATTCATGTGGCCTATGAAGCTATGGAGCCATGTTTGATGGATTTGCATAGTGTTTTGATCTATACCTGACCCTTGGAGAGCTTCACATGAATGGGTGCTATTGATAGCTTCATGTAGTTAATGATAGCATTCCAGCAGTTAGTTAATTCAAAGCAGAAAGATTCTGGTGATCCCCAGGCTCATTGGCACGCTTATTTTATTTCTCCTTGTTTTCTTCACTCCACAATTGCCTGTGTCAGGTGCCTCATTCAGTGCTGGGACTGTAGGAACTAGGTGTGATGAGCAAAATACTTGGACAAATCAAGTGTGGTCAGAAGCTCTCCATCCCTGACAAGGGTCAACCAAGGGCTAATGTCACAAAATGGGCACTCTTGCTGGTGGTGGAGGGGTCTGGCCCTCTGTAGTCAAATCCTGGCATCACCTGATTGCTGTGTCTCTGCTCTGTCCATAGGCAGCCTGATCTCTCTGCATATCTATGCCCTCCATAGGAACAACACCGTGTGGCCCAACTCTGAGGTATTCTGTACACTGGGCCCAGAGGACAAACACGGTGGGCTGGTGGTGGTGGGAGTCACACTCTGCCAACACCTGGTGAATGTTGAAACAAGGTCTGTCCCTTAGGTCTTTGACCCTCTGCGTTTTTCCCCGGAGAACTCATCTGGACGCCACCCTTTTGCCTTCATTCCCTTCTCTGCTGGGCCCAGGTAGGAAGACCCTCTAACCCCTCAGGATGGAACAGAGTGGGCATTGTTATAGGGTAATTTGTGAAGAAGGGGATCTTGTTGAGTTTGTAGTGACCTTTGTGTACAATAAGCCAAAAGTGTCTTCTTGCTATTGTCACACTGCTGCCCCTGGGAAGTGGGTGGGATGGGTGTGTCATTTCAAAAGACTCCCAAACTAGACCTCCAATGTGGGTCTACAAGCCTGGAACCCTTGCCATGTTCCCAAGTTCTGTTTTTAAAGTTGAGGTCAATCAGCCTGTCAGCCAGTTATGACTCTCATTGTAGTTTCTGGCTTTTGTGATCATTTGATTTCCTCACTGTTGCTTCTCCCTGCAGGAACTGCATCGGGCAGCAGTTTGCCATGAATGAGATGAAGGTGGTCTCAGCTCTGTGCTTGCTCCGCTTTGAGTTCTCTCCAGACCCTCTGCGGCAGCCCATCCTGCTGCCCCAGCTGGTCATGCGCTCCAAGAATGGCATCTACCTCCACTTGAAGCCACTGGACTCCCAATCTGAGAAGTAGCTCTTGTTCAGAGCTGGGGGGTCTTGTTCAGGCTGTGGCTTCGGCTGAGCGCTGCTGTCCAGCACTGTACGTGCAGTTAATTGGATCTTTCTGCTTTTGGGATCTTGTAGCTGTAGGAGAGGAATCGGCACATAGACAATCACCAACAGGCCAGTGCCTTGGGAACATTGTATTATGCTTGTTTGTATATTGTAGAATTCATGTGTTAACCAGCAAATGTGTTCACCCAATAAATATTCAGTGAGCACCTATTTGCTCACCTCCTGTAATGGACAACCTTTCTAAAATTTACATTCCAGTCGTCGTGACTCAGGGGGAGTCCAGTGGAAGTTCTGCTTCAAGACGCATGCTTATGAGCAGAGCTTGCAGGACAGGAGGAAATCTGGAGATTGCCACTTCACCGAGATAGATTTCATTGCTTGACTTAGCCTCTGTGTGTGTTTGGATTCTAACAGACGGAAGGTCCAAACTGTACAAAATGATGAATAAGCCTTACTCCCTTCTGGCCACCCCTGAAACCAAGCAATATGAAGCATGTCTCATTAAGTGCCTTCTGACTTCTGGAGATGGAGTTCTGTGGCAGTCCTGCCAGTGTCAGGGTCTATGTTTTGTAGAAACATGGCGTCCTGAGAATTCAGAGTTTGTCTGGGGGAGGTGGCAGAGGGGCATGAGGTGCTCCCTGGAAGGGAGAAAATGCCCACTTGAATTAGGCATTGAGATATAGGAGACTCAGGATGGTGCAAAGACTTCTAGAGAGGGCTCAGAGCTGGGATAAGATGAGCTGGAGGTCTTTCCTCTGTGGCAGTCTGTACATGTCCATCTCGTAGGTTCAAGGTCTGAGGCCTTGAGTGGGATCCAATGCAGGGCTTAGATGCATATGAAAGGAAGAGCTTAGGAGCTTAGGGAGAGGGGCAAAAGGGTATACAAAAGAGGAATTCCAGCTCTGGAACCTGGTGTTGTAGCTATGATGCCCCAGGGAGCTATAGATGAATTCTTTCTGCCGTAATTGGTTCTTACCCTCTCTAAAGAAGGCTGCAGCCTGGCTGCCACAGGCCACCTGCTTACTCCTGCAAAGTCCCAACAATATTGAGACTCTTTCCCCTCCTAGGGTGGGATACAGCCAGCATGTGTGTCTCAGTTGTCTGCTTGCAACATAGGTAGATGGTTCTCTGTACCAGCCCAGATAGAGTTTCCACAACCAGCATGTGTGTGCAGAGCCCAGAGTTCACAATCACATTGTACATCCACATGATACCCCATTCTAAAATGCATCCATTTTCCTTGTCTCCAGGTGTTAGGCTGGCTATTATTCCATTTCAGTATCAACGAAAGGGACCTGCCAAACCTTCTCCTAGGAGACATTTGAGCTCAGGCTGGTGTCCTTTGAGCCAGACTCCTTTCTCGGTTTAAAGCCCTCCCTAAGAGTGTGTGCAAGCAGGAAACAGAGTTGAGGATTCTAGTGCCAGAGGGGAGAGAGTACTTCCTGCAGGAAGGGAGGCTGGAGGCTGGGCACTGGTGGGCACACAGGCAAACTCTGCTTAGTCCTTCAAGCTCTCCAAACACATCTGACTGCGTCTTGTGATCCTGGGTATGTGAGTGGTGTATGAGAGGCGTATCAAGTGTAACTGTTGTGTTTCTTTGTGGTTGCCATGAAATTCTATATATGAGTGTGTATGCTCAGGTTGAGGAGTCTTGTCTGTTGCCGGAGCCATCAGGATTACATCTGGGACATCTACTGACTCCCTGTGGAATCCTGCAGTTAGAATACCTTCCCATAGCTGGCCTTCAGTATGCTGAGCTCACATTGTAGAGCATCCTTGGAGTAAGGCTGAGCTAGTTTGGAAGGCCAGGGACCCAGGAGAGAAATCCGGGCTGCAGCCACCACCTGGGCAATGGGGGGTGGGTGGGGATTGAGGGTGGGAGATTGAGACACAGTACAGGTGAAGGCTTCAGGGAGCTCTAGTCTTGGCATCTGGGGTTCTAGAATAGCAGTAGTCAGAGCAGAGCGGAATTGGGGACATGTAGTCAGAACTAGCAAGAGTCATGGGTCCGGGCTAAGATAAGCTGGCAAGAGAAGGAACACCTGCTTGGCGGGAGTGCATAGGATGCAGGTGCTGGGAGCAAGCCCAGTATTCCCATGCAGTTAGCAAGTGTGGGCAGAGCTATTGATATCACTCCTTAATTAAGGGCCATCCTAAGGAGAGACACTGTTTGGGTCTGGCCTCCACCTGAAATGACCAGACCAACTGGTCTCCTGAGCTTCTTCCCGCTTTTGCCACCCCTTTGTGAGTCTTCTGAGAAGCCTGTAGTCCCCATGTATGAGGAAAGCCAGCAGGCAGCTGGTGATTCAGCCAGGTTAGACTTCATTCTCATGTCTCTGGAGAAGAGTCCTTTGTCTAAATTTCATTGTCATAGGAGCCTCAGGGATTTGGCAGGGTGGGAGCTCCAGGGGTCAGATGCATATTCTGAATTCTACATGAAGCAAGGTGGGCTGCATCAGGCTTGGAGTCCTTGCATCACAGGGCAGATATCATCTTATTCCCTGGAAGGGACTTAATATGTGTGTCTTCCCTGCCTTCTGCCTCTACCATCTTATCTCCATCTCTTCCCAAGGGAAGACAGAGCCTGCAGACAAGTTTGCAAACTCTTCTCCAGGGAGGAGGGGAAACAGAGAAGCCAGCCTTGATGATAGCTGTGCAGATGGCACTAGACAGGAGAGACCTAGACAGATTTAGCTGGGATGTTGCTCAGAGACTGGGGTACACTAGCACTGGAAGATAGACACATGAAAATGTGGAGCCCATGAGTGTGGGGTCCCATCTTGCCAAAAGAACTTTGGAGGCATGATTAAGTAAAAGAACAACAGGAAAATTATCCCAGACTATCTGCGTGACTTTGATGCAACCACAAGAAGGAAGAGATGAGAAAAGAGAGAACGAGAGAGGGAGAAAGTGTGAGAGAACGAGGGAGAGGAAGAGGGGGATTGGGATAGGGAGAAAGAGAGAAACAGAGAGAGAGAGAGAGAGAGAGAGAGAGAGAGAGAGAGAGAGAGAACGCCCCACAGAATGCACAGAATGGTAGGAATACAGCTCTAGAGCTGAACAGCCAAGGTGAGGATTTGCTCCTAGAACCTCCAGGGGGAGCCCTGCCCTGCTGATGACTTGGTTTTCTCCCCGCAGTACCAGCCATTTCAGATCATTGGCTGCCAGGACTGTAAGAGAAGACGTAGCTGCTGCTTAAGATGTTCCCAGTCATGATAGAGATAACAGCTATCAGAGATGACTGCAAGGACAACAGAAGACAGGGACAGGAGATCTCTGATAACACAGGGCTAGCCCTGCATCAGGAGAAAGCTTAATTGTGTGAAGCATCTAAGTAGTCACTTGTTAGTTGACTCCCTCCACACAGTGTCTGGGGTCCTAAGGTGGAGGCACTGAGAGGGCAGGGCCACATTACTGGGCCCTCACCCTTACAGGGTCCCCAGGAGCCAAGTTTCTCGGAAGATGACTAGGGGAAGCTCCTGGGGGGCCTAGTTGGGCCTGCCTCCTGCGTGGCGGTCTAGGCTCCTGCTTCTCAACACATCACACGCCCAGCTTGTCAGCATCCTCTAATTCCACTCTGGTGATGTCCTTCCTTGTCATGCTTCAGGCTCCTCCTTGGATTTTTCTGATTTCTATCTTCTCTCTCCACACTGAAGCCACTACCCAGCTTCTTCCAAGCAAATGGGATCACATCCAAATGCCTCAACTGTTTTAAGCCCTCTGTGGGCTGTTGCTCAGCCACATGTCCCTTGTCCAATTCCACTTCCCAACTCACTCTTATTGAGGTCACTGAATTTGTGTCCCCCCTCCTTCTCTGCCTGTTATTTCCCCAAGGCCCAAGCTGATGACCTGCCAGCTCTCACCCCTCTCTCAGCCACCCTTCTCCCTCCAAGTCTTCCGAGACATGATTAGTGCTTTATTCAAAGACCCATCACACTCTAGACAGGCCTAGGACAATATCAGCACATTCTGGAAGCTGCACATGAAGCGAATGGAGGAGAGAAGGGATGAAGAAGGAAAGAATGATGTTCATTTAGAATACAGATATTCTCTGCAGAGCACATTTTTCTAATTGACTGTGAATTCTTAGAGGTAGGGTCAGTCCATTTCATCTCTGAGTTTCTTGGTTCCTGGTAGAGGGCTTGGCACAGAGAAATGGATTGCTGCTTTCATATCAGAATGCAGCACATTGATTTCATTTTCAACTGAACTGAAAACAAACAAAAAAACCTGAATGAAATACAGGGAAAGGAAATGACCTAGGCATCAAACTCCCCAAGTCTCTCTGTCTTCTGAAGGCAGCGACATGGTCTGCAGCCAATACCTCAGCACAAGTTCTCAGCCCTGGGATAAATCCCACCCCAAGAAACTAGCTTCTTAGAGGTAATGTTTGCTGAAAGCTTGCTCTGTGAGAGTTGATTTGCCATTCTAAGTATCCACAGATGCATGGAGTCAGAAGAAGGTTTGCACAAACTCTTCAAACTCTGGCAATGCTATTCCACTGCATTGTTCCTGCAGACTTTCAGATGTTCACAGGAGTGAGCTTGGATTGCAAACATGCTACCTCTTAGCTATTGCTAGTGGGTTTTTTAGTTGATACATCAGGAACCTTTCAAATGCTATGAGTCCTTTCCAAAGTAGTGAGTTTTCTCTCAAAGGCAGTTTGTTGTCCTTATTTTAACTTTTTTTTTTGTGCCAACAAAACTATGCAGATTCTTAGTGTAATGTCAAGGTGTACAGATCTCATCTCATCTCATCTGTCAAGTTTTGACAACTGGGTAAGTTGTAAAAGGAATGAGGACACCTGCATGTGCTCTTGTGATAGAATGCCAAAGTAGGAAGCACACACACTGGTGGAGCACTTTCTACAAAGGCCATGGTGATTGAAGTGTGTGAACACTCAGGGTGCGCAAGGTTGCTGGACAGCAAACATGGGCAACATGGTCTTTTGGTTTGGTTTGGTGTTGGAAGGATGAATTCGCTCAGGAGAAATGTCCATGTGGTGCACTGAGAGTATGTGAAAAGCAAGAAATTGAAAATCACAGCAATGAAAGTTTCATTGACACACAATAGCTTGCTTGTTCTGTTTTTTTTTTAAAATTTACTTGTTTTTATTGGAAAAGTAGATTTGCAGAGAGAATGAGAGAGAAAAAGATCTTCTATCCGCTGGTTCACTTCCCAAGCGGCTGCAATAGCTGGAGCTGAGCCAATCAGAAGCCAGAAG